CGCCCCGGCCCGCCCCCGGCCCGCCCCCGTGGCGGCTCTTGCCGTCGCCGCCCGCGCCGATCCTCGGCCCCGCCCCCGGAGTGCCTGGGGCCGCCGCGGGTGCAGGGCGCCGGGACCGGGTCTGCTGGCGGTGGCGAGGCCGCTGGCGGGCGGGCGGCCGGGGACTGGAACCGATTCCGCCCGCAGAGGCGTGGGGGACCAGCGGGCAGCGCGGATCCCTGGCGTGGGCGGCTCTCCCGGGGCGGGGCGGGGGGGCGCAGCGGCTGGCGCCTCTGGAGCCTGGGTCCCCCCTCCTCCCCAAGTCCCGGCCGCCCGCGTCCCCGCAGCGCGCGGGGGAGGAAAGGCCTTGACCTTGCACGCCGGGGCTCTGAAGTTCCAAACGTCGGCCGCCGGCCGGGCTGCACTTCCAGGGACCAGGGCGGCGGGGGCCGCGCGCTGCGGGGGCCAGGAGGGAAAGCGAGGCTTTGCTTTGCTGCCCGATCCCCCTACCCCGCGGCTGGCTTTGGGACGGTGCCCCGCAGCCCCGCAGCCCCGCAGCCCTGCTTTGAGGAGACGCGAGGCTGCCTGCAGAGGCCTGCGGACCGGCTTCATGTCTCCCTCCTTGTTTGAAAGGAATTTCAGCCAAGGTGCATTTTCCCTCTCCATGTTTATTATACTCCAGTGAAAAAGTTATAAAACGTTGACCCAATTCTTAAGAACCGTGAGTGCCCACCAAAGAGTCTGGCTTTCGTGGGTCGCTCGGAGAGTCCCGCGGCTCGGGGCCCATCCTGGCTGCCGAGGCCTCGCTCCCCGTTGGCTGGCGTGCGGGCAGGGTGGTGCGGACTCCTCACTTGCCGCCCAGCCTGGGAAGAACGCGGCATTCGTGGGGCGGGAGCGCCCGCCAGGTACCCACTCATGCTGCTTGGGTTCTGGCAATACTTGGAGGTCATTTCACGTCCCAGCCTCTTGGAAACACAGGAGAGGGGCTGGGACATGAAGTGATCTGCCAGGATCTCACAGCGGCAGGGCCGCCCTGGGTGGGCCCTAGTGTGTTGGCTCAGGACAGCGCGGGCTCTGGGAGCCAGTCTGGCTGCCAGGTGTGGGCTCCCAGTGTCCACATCAAGCCCTGCTGGAGGCAGAGCGGGGGTGCCCTACTTTCTGTCCTGTTAGGGTCTGGAAGCCATGATCGGGGGCCACTTATGCCTCAGTAAAGCTGTTAAACATAGGCAACGTCATACCAGAAAGCCCTCCTGAAGCAAACCCAGAGAGCTGAAAAAACCCACACCCCAAACCCAGCTGAGCAGGCGGCATGCAGTTTCCAAAAGGACTGCAGGGATATCCGCTGTGGACAGGCGGGTGCAGCACCCTCAACACAGCCCAGCGCAGCCTGGAGTCCATGGCGGGGGTCCTCGGTGAGACCTAGGGCCCCGAAGCCCCTGCTCCTCTTGTAGGCTGCTTTAAAACTGTCCCTGGCCCAAGGATTATGGGGGCAGCTTGGTCAGGCTTCTCCAGAAGTGACTCATTCCTGTTGGGACTGGGGGTGCAGTCCCGGTGGGACACAAGTGGGGCCACCTTGCAGTGTGCCTGGTCCTGCCTGCAGCCTCTTGACACAGTCTGTGGCTGAGCCCTGGGGAGCCTTTCTGAGCCCTGGGGAACCTTCCTGGAGGGCTGGAGGAGCAGAGCTGCCCTGGTCCACCCCCCAGATGTTCTTACCCACATAAGAATCCTCTACAAAGTGCTACATCATAATTAAGGCTGCTCTTTTGGACACCTGCTGGGTGCCAGGCATTGTAGAGGTGTCACTTCCAATTCAGTCAGCAAGTCTGTGAGGGTAGGCTGATACCCATTTACAGAAGAGAAAACTGAGGTTCAAAGGGGTTAAGACCCTGGTTCCAGGGTCAACCACTCTCACCCTGTGAGAATCAGCAGAGCTGGGATCCTGATGCCTGCCATAAGCCTCAGAACCCTGTCTTCCCCCACCTCTGCACTTGCCCCAGCTCCCCGGCCAGGGGTGAGGGCAGTGAGAGTGTCTACACGGGCCACTACTCACTGCCACCAAGGGGGAACACGGACCCAGGGTGCTCAAGGGAAAGCTGGAGCAGCTCGGAAGGCCCCACCCTGTGATGATCTCACTGTCCCAAACTGAGGCCCAGGCAGGGAAGAAGGGCCCGTGATGAAGTCCCAGAGCAGCCTGACCCGTGGAGGAACATCTCCTGAAGAAGCTGTTTAATCAAACTTCATACCTGCGACACTGGCTGATGGGCAGCACCCACATTAGCCAGGAAGCCCTTTCTTTCTAGAATTCTCTTAAGAGGAGGAAAATCTGCCTGGTTGGCTGTAGGACTTTGCCCAGTCTTCCATTTTGATTGAAGCCCTGCGCATGCACGTTAGACCCCAAGGCTGTGAGTTTCTGGCGTCTTAGTCAAGTCCGATGAACCACCCCTGGGGACGCTCCGGCCGAGTGGACGCAGCTCCAGCACTCGCGCGCGCGCAGCCTGCATCACGCTGCTCCCCACCACTTTTCGCTACTCGCCGCGATGAGTCCTCAATGCCATGTCCTGGAAAATGGACAGAAACGCACAGGCCGCGGCTGGCGTGGGGTTTCAGGAGGTCAGCGGGCACAGCCAGGCCTCCAGGAGGTGCGCTGTGCGCGCTGTGTCCTTTCTGTCCTGGGTCATCCGTTCGGCGGCCACAGTTCCCCCAGCTTGGAGAGTGCATGTGAACTAAGTGTTTGCTAGGGGCAGCGTCCAGCCCTGAGTGCTTGTGGAGTCCTGGGAAAAGCACTCGCAGCTCTTCTGCTCAGTGCCTTTGTCCCCTGAAGATTCACGTCACCAATTCTTTAATGTGTGATCTCCGACTTAGTGGCAAAGAAAAGTAAAAGAACGCGGCAGGGGCAGGCAGTGATGGTCCCAGAAAAACCAGTCACTGCACTGCTCGGACAGTGTCAGCCGCAGCAACATTGGGCTTCATGAATGAAGCCTAATTCGCGGCCCACCGTGCGGTCTCAGAGTCTGAGAACCACGAGATCAACCGCGGCGCCACCTCCCGGCGCACAGTCCCGCGGGCGGCCGCGCGGGGGCAGCACGCGGCCCGGACCCCAAGCGCCCGTGGTTGACTTTGAAAAATTGGGGGATTTTCCACACTGGTTCCCTCGCGGTCCGTCCGGCGGCTGCCCACTGTTGTTTGCAAAGAGGAGGGCAGCTGCGTGCGCCCTCAGAGCCACACCTGGTGCCGGTCCCGCTGTCCACGCGGGGCGCAGAGGCGGGTTTTGTTGGGGGGCAAAGTTTTAGAGGGGACTCCGGTTCGCGCGGACCCGCGGGGCCCGGCCTGGACCCTGACCCGGCGGCAGGCTGGGGGCGCCGGGCTGCGCGCCTTGGACGCAGCCGCCTCCTCCAGAGAGCCCCGCGGCCGCTTTGCCGCCCAGCGGCCCGTGCCCGGCGCCTCCTCCAGCACCGGGGGGCGCCCCGCTGCCACGCGGCCCGCAGACGCACAAGCGGCGGGTCTTCCCAGGGCCCGAGGGGCGCGTCCCGGCCGCTGCCCGGGGACCTCAGGCGTCCTGGGTTCGAGGGCCGCACTGGAAGAGTCCGGGCTTCGGGAAGGGCCGCTCGCTTCCCTCCACGCCCCGGGCCTCGCTGCTCTTTGCGCCCTCCCTGCGGGACCTCCAGGCCCGCTTCAGTCCTTAGGGGAAAAGGGTGGGATAAACAGGAGGACCTGAGCAATTGGGAGGGGCAGCGGGGCCCCGGGCTTCCCCGGCCCCAGGAGGAGCCGGTGTCGGCCTTGCCTGCCTACGCTGCTGCCCGGTGACCTCCACCCCCTGCCCTCGCGTGTGGCGTGGGGTTTCCGGCAGGCGGGGGGCTTGGTCTGCTGCCTGGCTGGGATACCGAGTCAGTCTGTCCAGTGGAGCCCACCCTCCTCCCCGGGCAGCTGGGCTGTGGGCTGGACCGGCCGGTTCTGCCAGCTTGGGAGGCAGGACAGGGACCTGGTAACGTTGCCCCAAGGGCATCATCCTGGTTCTTCTGCTTGGAACTTCCCAAAGGACACTCTTTAAACGGCCTAGGCTGAGGCGGGCCCACAGCCTGGATGGGGTGGGGGGTGACTGCTCACAGCTCCAGTGGCCTGTGGGTCTCCTCCCAGATGGCTGTCATTGTTTTCTCTGCCCAGAGGGGCTTCCACCCAGCGGGGGCAGGGAAGAGCCACCAGAGAGGGCACTGAGCAGCTTGAAAAGCTCCACTGGTGGGGACGTTCCCTGGGGGTGGGGTGGGGTGGATAGCTGCCCTTTTGAGGGTGAAATGGGCTAGTCTGGGAAAAGCTACCCGACCATGGGGTGCTTGCTGCTCCCACCCCAGCTGCCTGGAGCCACCAGGGGCCTGGGCACGGGTGGGGGCAGGAGGCCTCGGTGGGGGAAGGAGGCCTGGGCCCTGATATCCAGAACGGTGAGCTCAGTGCTCTCCAGACAGCCTGGCTTCACCGTCGGGGCTGGGGACCAGCTCCCGCCCTGCTCTCCGGGGGCTGTGATGACTCACCGGTGGAGGTGAGGGAGGACCAGCTCCCGCTCTGTCTGTGGAACTCACCTGGCACCACTGCCCTTCCTGGGGGATGACAGCCGGTCCCCATGCTCCCCGTCACCAGCTTCTGCTCTTTTTACCTCCATTCATTGCCACGGTCATTAAGGAGTCGCTAGATTACAGTTGGCCTGACAAGTCAGTTGACTGTTCTGACAGAAGCTCCTTGGGTAGGACCCCA